CATGATCTGCTTCATTGGTCTCTCATTCAACCGGCGACACTTGAAGCAATTTCTAATGATGATCTCGGCCAATCCTCTGCCTCCGAGTATCCAGAACATTTTCCTCGTCTGCGCCAGGGTCTGCTCCTTACCAGCATGGGCCAGACGTTCGTGACAGCAGCGAACAATCAGCTGACTAACGTTGTGTTTCTTTGGGAGTATGATCGGGTGCTTTTCGTTGTTTCTACGGCCTTCAACAGATCGTCAACGTAAAAATCCTCTTGGACGGACTTAACAGCTTCTTCACTAAAGATCTTCTTGTTATCGTCAGCGGTTCTTTTGAGGCAGTAGTTTGCGCAGCTTGGAGAATCTTTCGCGCCAAAAATGTGAGAGACCATCTGGTACTCCTCTGGGGGGTACGAAAGTCAGCGTCTTCCCACCATAAAAACCAGAGGGCGTCGGCATCCTCGGCAGGTACTTTCACCTGAAGGAACATAGATTGTATGTCTGCTGCAAGTACGATGCGCTCTTGTCTGAACCTCAGCAACACGCCAAGCAAACTGTTTGTTAAATCTGGTCCTCGATTCAGCTGATTGTTAAGAGAAACTCCATCATGTAATGCCGCGGCATCAAATACCACACGAATTTTTCCCGGTTTGTGTGGGTGGAAGACACCATGGTGTGGTAGATACCACGTCCTGGGGCTCCGAGCCGCAGCCTCGTCTTTCGTCAACTTTCTTGCATATCCTTTTGTCAAGAGGTCATCCATAAAGTTCCGGTACTTACAGCGCAACTGCTTATCTGCCCATAGCCGTCTTCTCAGGGAACGACGTCTAGCTACAGCCGTCATTCTGATATTTGGCAACCAAGGACTCTCGTGCTTCCACAGCATTCCGACCTCGTAGTGGCCATCTACTAGGCGAGCGGAACTATTAAGCTTGCTTAAGGCTTCTCGATCCTGGACTGACATCCCTTTCCTACTACTGCTGATCGAATCAATATTCTCCAAACCAAGAAACTGACTCATTTGCTGGTCTAACGTCTCGTTGCCGTACCTCAGAAAGTTTACGTTCGCTTTGTTAGATTGGCTTCTAATGTTGGCATTAAGTGGACCCATAATAGCCCACCCAAATAGAGTACGAACCGCTTATGGTTCTCCCACTCCTCCAACGCGAACTTCCTCGTGTATGTGAGCTTCAGGGACGTTTGCTCCTATTAGCAGCGTGACTTCTTCTCCACCAATGTCTGGAGGCAGTATATCATTTAAGTGTCCCCACTTCGTCAAGTCCTGCGGCCTAGACATGTTCACAGGGAGGTGTTCGAAAACCTTGACATCCTTAATCTCAATTCGATGGTCTTCTGGACCTTTCATCGATAACACAGCCAGGTCTACTCTGCCCACACGTACTGTTGACTCCCCAGTCATGGTACAAACTGCCAAGGACTCGAAATTCTTCACAATCAACCTCAGCCTGTCGGCGGTAGATTTAGCGATAAACGACTCCTCGCTTCCCGTGTCAAGCAATGCCCACGTGCTCACTAAGTTCCCATCCTCTCCTTCCACTGTTACAGGGACCACTTGCAGAGCAACCTTCTGCGAGGTGAACGCTTTCTGACTGCACGTCTTGTAGGAGGCGAACTTGGCAAAATGTACCGTACTACTTGTCGGGGTTTCACTTTCACCGCCATTTGCCGTAATTACGTTCGCAGATACTCTAACCTGGTCCGGGTTTTGACCAGAAGAGGATGCCCTACCATCGCCTTTCATCGTGTTAGCAGTTACTTCGTCTTGGTCTTGGCTTTGGCAGGGGGTTTCAACACAGTCCAACGCAGCGTTGTGCAAGAGGAAGTGATGTTTCTGTGGGCATAGGTTGCACTTCGATTTAGCAAAGCATTGGGAGAGGAAATCTCACTTCCTCAGGCAGTTAAAACAAAGACCTCTGCCTCGAGCAAAGATTCGTCGCTGTCTTACAGTCATATTCTTAAATTTATCGCATTCAGCCAACCTGTGCGATGCTCCACAGTTTATACATTTAACTGGATGGCCTGTACCTCGTGGATCATTCCGGCCAGGCAGAGAAAGCTGCGTTGCTAGCGTAGTCACTCTACCGTCAGGTCTGCTGGGAGGAGGCACTCTCGAATTTCTCTTGGCAGATACATTAGCGGCTCTGCTCGTTTCGCCTATTCGTCCGAAGATTGGATCATTTACAGCATCTGCGCGTTTCTCTATGAACTCCACCAGGTCTTTAAAGCTTGGCAACATCCCTCGCTCGCGGATTCGTTGCACTTCATCTCTCCATCTAGTCTGCTGGACGGTAGGCAGTTTGCTGGACATTTTCCCCAGGTTGGAGAGGTTCATTTCTGACAGGGCGTTCATTTCTTTTAGGGTCTCGTACAAGGTCCTGCTACAATCTGCAAACTCTCTCAGGCCTTCTCTGTCACTGTTTGAAATGTTTGGTCCTTCGATTAAAGCGTCAACACATGCTTTGGCTATTATGTGAAGCTAGCCAAATCTTGCTCCAGTAATCGCATAGCTTTCTTGAATCCACCAGGCGTGCCCTCGAAACCTGCCACAGCCCTTTTTGCCTTGCCCTCGCAAAACTGCAACAAACGGGTCATCTTTTGTTCATCAGACAGATTCTGAGACTCCACCATCAAATGGAAACGTGTTTTAAATTTGAAGAACTCACATGGATCTCCGGAAAACTTCATCACCTCCAGGGGAGGCAGGCTCACGGCCGGAGCAATCAGATTCATGTTAGCGACAACCCTCTCGAGAACACCAGCACTGTCAGTATTAATAAGCTTGGATGTAGCTCCACATCCACTGTTTGGCTGAGGGAAAGGAGGAGCCCTTGGATTCAACGTTGATCTTGGGACTTCCTCAAGAATTCTCGGAGCTGGAACGATGGTACGCGGCTGAGCCTCTTTCGGGCAAGACTCAGGAATAAATGGTTCAAGCTTCTCCATCACTCGCGGATCAGAGTACTGTACTACCTCCTCCAACGCAACCGGCTTAGTAGATGCTTCATCGATGATGGGCACTCCTTTAGACCCTCTGCTTCTCTTGTCTGAATCCAAATGTTCATAAAAACGTGTCCTTATCCGAGCTAAATCGCCTTCGTCCTCGGCGTCAGCTTTTTCATTTTCTAACAGTAACAGCTGCTGTTTCAACTTTCTCTCTTTAGCTCTCTTTAATTGCGTCAATTTCGCTTCGGCCAGAACGTTTTCCATCGCGGCATTTTCACGTGATTTGAACTACGACCTGAACGTCTCGATTTTCGAGAACCAGTCGAAACAGAACTTTGTGCATCTCCAGGAAGACTAACACACTTTCAGGAAACACCTGGTTCCTTAGCTGAGATCGCGCTGCTTTCTGTTACTCCACTCTGAAGTTCTGCACGGGCCAGGAACTGCTCAATTAGAAAGCTGTATCTTTCGTACACTCGCGTCTGATCATTGAAGCGATCTATTTCATTCGATCTTTCACTATTCCCCGGTAAATGGCTTATAATATCATTGTACCCGAAACAATACCGCGCCCATTGATCCTGTAAACGACGACTCAGCTCCGTTACTTCGCTTATAAAACGAGAATCCTTGAGCACTTCGTCTAAACGGCCAAAAATCTTTGTCATCTCGCCGAGGTGACCAGCTTTCGACCTTTTCCAGACCCTAATTCTTTCTTGTGGCACTCCTTGTTCCCGAACGTCGTTGCTGTCGACCAAACTGTGCGTCTCCATACGCAGAAATTATTTATTCATCTGCAGAATTTCGCAGAATCCACAGAATTTCGAAGAATTGTAAACTCCACGTTTAATTTCTTTTTTCTTCAGAGTTCCACAGCGTCGTAAATCAGCCTCTCTACCTATGTCGCTCCACGTCGCTTCGAAATTCTCTGAATCTTTTGCAAAAACCCTTCACGAACTTTACAAACTAACTTAGATGCCAACTTTTCGAAAACTAGAGTTCCAAAGTACTTATTCATAAAAAAAGAAACGAAAAAGGTCACGTGCA